AATTTTGGTTTTCTTCATTCTTCTTTGCTCTGGATGAGGAGAGACCCATCGTTGCATCTAGATGGCAGCTTGCTAGCTTTTAAGATCCCAGTCACTACTCTGTGGCACTATTTTGTGTCGCATCAAAAAATGCTTTCCTTAAAGGTTTCCATTAGGATATTGAGTCCTGTTTACTCCACCATGGCTCTTACTCTGCTGTCCTCTGCTACCTACCCAAAGTGCAGTTTCCATGACAACTATCTCTTGAACACTCTTCCTCCCTCAATGCTTTAAGCTTCATCCTCCCAATTCTTTGTTCTGAATCCCTGAAGACTTCATTCTATTATTCTGTTGCCTACACACTACTTCTGGCCAGCCTATTCATGTCTTCTTATGAGGACCTCCTGGTCCCTCAAGCACTCGATTCATTCTCTAATTACACGCCTTCTGTCCAATCAGTCCCTCATAGCTTCCCTCCTGGATCCTACTCTGCTCACCCCTCTTATATCCATTTGGTTCAGTGCTCCTAAGTGGGTGGTCCCATCTCCTCCCACAACTTGATTCACCCTGTAGGTGTCTCCCAAATCTCTATTTCTAGCTCAGTGCTCTCCCAATAACCAGATTCATATTTCCAGTTGCATATAAATACATCAACATAATATCAAACACTATCAATCTATTTATCACAGAAGTTGCAAACTCTAAAGGTCAAAGAGTGAATTTCTCATCTTTCCTCTAACTGTATTCTACTTCACAAAATCGTCACCCTATTATACAATCAGAAACCTCAGACTTAGTCTACATTGCTCTTTCTCTCACCTTAACATTCAGTCAATGAGCCAACTAGGTCAATGTTTCTCCCTCCAAGGTGTCCCTAAAATCATTGCCTTCCACTCCTTAGACTCTGACTCTGCCTTATTGTACACTCTTTTTATGTCCCCTCAAAAAAGCAAAAGTCTTGCAACTGGTATCACTGCTTTCAGTCTCACTTCTTCAAATTCATTCTCCACATTGTGGCAGAATCTTCTGCCTCACTTCCCACCATGACCCTGGTGACCACGCTCTACTCTGATCAGTCTGTTCTGCCCACTGAAGCTCCATTCTCTCTCATGCCTTTATATTCTTATCTCCACTTCTGGCTCTTTGACATGTCTTTTCCCCCTATAAGATTCAAGGAGCTCTGGTGGTGTAGCAGTTAAGGCATTCGGCTGCTAACCAAAAGATTGCTGGTTTGAACCCACCAGTCACTCTGTGGAAGAAAGATGAGGCACTCCGCTTCCCTGAATATTTACAGCCTTGGAAACCCAACGGTGGTCGCTATGGGTTGGAATCAACTCGATGGCACTGAGTTTGGTTCTTTTTGGTTTATGAAATTTGTTGACTTCACTCTCTTCTCCCCACCTTGGGTCCAGTGAGATATTAGTTTTTTTGTGATTAAATATGATTCTTAGTTTTGTATATGTATCTCACACTAACACACACATATGTATATACACATATACATATAAATGTATATGTGAAAGCTGGACAATGAATAAGGAAGACTGAAAAAGAGTTGATGTTTTTGAATTGTGATGTTGGCAAAAAATACAGAAAATACCATGGATTGCCAGAAGAATGAACAAACCTGTCTTGGAAGAAGTGCAGCCAGAATGCTGCTTAGAAGTGAAAGTGGCCAGACTTCATCTCACCTGCTTTGGTCATATTGTTAGAAGGGGCCATGCCCTGGAGAAGGATATCATGCTTGGTAAAGTAGAGGGTCAGCAAAAAAGGGGAAGACCCTTGACAAGATGGATTAGCACTGGCTGAAACAATGAGCTCAAGCATAGCAAAGATTGTGAGGCTGGTGCAGGACCAAGCAGTATTTTATTCTGTTGTACATGGGGTAGCTATGAGCTATAGCCAACTCAACGGCTCCTAAAAACAACAACATATGCATGCAAAAACTGGACAGTGATAAAGGAAGTCCTAGGAATAATTGATGCATTTGAACAATAATGTTGGCAAAGAATATTGACTACACTTGGACTGCCTGAAGAATGAATCAATCAGTCTTAGAAAAAATACATCGAGAATACTCCTTCGAAATGAAGATGGCAAGACTTTGACACAGTTACTTCTGACATACCATCAGGAAAGACCAATTACTAGAAAAGGGCATAATGTTTGGTAAAGCAGAGGGTCAGTGAAAACAAGGGAAACCCTCAATGAGACGGACTGACACAATAGCTGCAGTTATGGACTCAAATATATGAAAGATCATGAAGATGGTTCAGGTCTTGGCAACAATATTTTCTGTTATATAAAAGGCCACTACTGTTCTTTTGTTGCTAGGTGTCACTGAGTTGGCTCCAACTCATAGTGAACCTATGTACAACAGAACAAAACACTGCCCAGTTGTGCACCATTTTCACAATCCTTGCTATACGTGAGCCCATCATTGCAGTCATTGTGTCAGTCTATATTGTTGAAGGTCTTCTCCTTCTTCTTTGACCGTCCACTTTACCAAGCATGATACCCTTCCCAGGAAGGTCACTATTAGTGGGAGTCAACTTGGCACAATCAACAAGAGCAAAAACAATTGTAATTGCTGGCTTATATGTCCCCCATCACCACCACACTACTGCCCCTTGAATGAAGAGACCTTGTTCCTTTCATCTTTGCGTCCTCTCAGCACATAATATGCATTTAAATTATAATTGTTAAATTAATGAATGTATTCCCCACCATACCTAGCATGGTCTTATATGCTATAGTATTTGATGAATATTTCTTTATGGGCTGCTGATTCCAATTCACAGCCTTCAGAGCACCATTGTTCACTGTCACAAAGATAGGACTGAGAGATTCTATAATGTGTAACATGTGCATATATATATTCTTATGACATGGGCTGTAGCTTTCTTTGTTGTTGGGATGGAGCCTGCCTCGATGTGACCTATGTGACAGCAGACATTCAGTTTTCAGGCTCACAAACCCCTTCCATGACAACTTGCTGCTCCAGGTCCCCACTGTCTATGTTTCTGCTTTACAGGCTCTGTAAGTTACAGAGAAAGGAGATATAAAAGCTAATTTTAATTCAGCATTTATTCCAAATGCTTTATGCAGACACACTCTTGTCCCAGCTCAAGAACTTCAGAGTCGTGTATGTGTTTGGAGAGAGTGAGTATGTGCAATACTTGCAAGCATTACATAAGCGTGGAATACACTGATGTCGTAAATCCAGGACTTGGGCTCTAAACCCAGTAGATTCCAGGTTCCACCCACAAGCTTCCTTCACCAGCAACACATTATAATAAATAATTTCAAATAAGGAGCCACATTAGCAGTCTCCAGAACATATTTTCCTTTTCATAGCAGAGACTCCTGCAGTGAGAGCAGGGGTAAGTTTCTAATCAGGTATAGTGGTGAAGAAGCTCCAAAATAGTTGCATCCTATATGTCCTGAGCAGCTGCCTGGAGACTTTTGATATGAGGTATGGCCCACAAAACTACACAAAATTGACTGATACATATTTTCTTACACATTTCAGTAAATTTAGTAGAAGGTCTCAATGGGAGAGAACCAAAGAGAGACTGGATTTTAGAGTTAGAAGTATGTTGTCTTGTTGTTGTTGTTATGTGCCGTCGAGTCGGCCCCGACTCATAGCAACCCCTCCTTGGGTTTCCGAGGCAGTATCACTACGGAAGTAGGATTGCCCAACCTTCCTTCTGAGGAGTGGCTGGTGGGTTTGAACCACCAGCCTTCTGGTTAGCAGTCAAGTGCTTTTAGCCACTATGTTACCAGAGCTCCTGGATATTGTCTTAGTTACCTAAAAAACAAAAGCCAAACTGACTGCTGTCAAGTCAGATCCAACTCATAGCGACCCTTCCTTGTGTTTCCGAGGCAGTATCACTACAGAAGTACATTGCTGAATCTTCCTTCTGAGGAGTGGCTGGTGGGTTTGAACTACCAGCCTTCTGGTTAACAGTCAAATTTTCTTACACACTAAGTCATAAGAGCTCCCCTTAGTTACCTAGTGCTGCTATAACAAAAATATCACAAGTAGGTTACTTTAACAAACAGAAATGTATTTTCTCACAGTTTAGGAGGCTAGGAGTCTGAATTCAGGATGCTAGCTCTAGGGGAAGTCTTTCTCTCTCTGTCATCTCTGAAGGAAGGTCCTTATCTCTTTGATCTTCTGCTCCTGGGCTATCTTCATGTATCATGGCATGTGTCTGCTCTGTCCCCACCTTCCTTAATCTGTTCCTTTCATATTTTGTAAGATATTTACTCAAATCACATCCTGTACTATTCCTCTTATTAACATAACAGATAACTCATTCCCAAATGGGATTATAATCACAGGCATAGAGGTTAGGATTTATATTTTTTGGAGACAAAATTCAATCCATAACAGATGTTTAAAGATCATCTGACCCAACAGCCATATTTTACACTAAGATGCAGAAGTTGATGTTGGTGTCTGCCCAAGCTCTATATGGTCCCTTCTCTTTCCATGATTTGACTCCAAGTCAAGTCCAAAGTCAAAGCTACTGGTCCAAGGTCAAAGTGCTTCAAAGCCCTGAGTGCTCCAGAAAGCCTTCACTGGGACTCTTATGATTTTGCTAGCATTATAAACATTTGCTATTTATACCTACTTACCTTATTGTCCTCTTAGCAGGCAATTATTCTATCTTACAGCAATTTGAACTTGATATATTATCAGTGTCTGTAGTCATTTCTTTTGTATTCTGGTTGAAGACTAACAGAAATCTTCCTCCTAGAGCTTTGTCATTCACTCTCAATACTCTTCCTGATATTCTTTCCATGGCTCTGAAAATAATGACCCTTGAGAATTGCTTCTAACTTCTGAATCAGAAAGACTGGAAAATTCAAACTTTAGAAAGTGAAAATTAAAGGTCTTACCATTCAAGGTGGTTCTCCACAAACGCAGACATGGGACTGATCTGCACCGTGTAAGTGTCATTTGCAGAGTACTCAAAGAGCCCGTAGTAAGGGTTGAAGAGCTCCTGGGACAGCAGGAAGAAGAACTCTCGTGAGGGACCACTGTAGTCCAGGCTACAAAGGAAGCAGAGGCCCAAGAAGCTCAGGATGTGCAGGGAGGATGTCCACAAATGGGCTCTTCTTGTCTTCAGTGTTCCTTAACTTTTTTTCCAATCGCATTCACACTTATAGAATAAAATACACAGCTGGTCCATCAAAAACATGGATTTAGCTGTGTGTGGGGGGCATAAGAGAATTTCCTTTGACACTGCTTGTATGTGTGTATATGTCTGTGTGTGAACTGGAAAAAGTTTCAAAGTTCATTCTCATACACCCTCCTGGGAGAACTTGCCTCCCACAGCTGAGATATTTTCAATGAAACCACTAGAAGTATATGAAAATTTTGATATATAGTTGTATATGTACATTTCAGAGGGGAAGAGTTTCTTTGATTAGATAGTCAGAAGGATAACTACCGAAAAACAAAAAAACAAAAAAACAATGACTTTGGACTGGGTTTTGGCTTACTCTGGACATGTGGTGTCACACTCCAGCATGTGCCAGTAACTGGTTTTTGGAAGACCCTGAAGTCTAAAGCTTGCAAATACCTGGAGAGAGAAAAGCATACTAGGAAAGCATGACTAGAATCACCTTGGGCAAAACGCTTAGGGCCACCACTCTGTTCCTTCTCAAGAAAAATCATCCATGACCCTTGGTCTCTGTGCTGACCCCACCTAGGTGTCTGCATAAAACAGCTGGCACCTCACCCCTCCTCTCCAACAAAGGTGATGTAGAGCTTGTTCCGCTGGAGCTCTTTTCGGGAATAGGCCATCACCTGATTGAAGGTTCCCTCCAACAAGTGGTCCCGACGAATAATGAGCCTGGAAAGGAAAAGAAGCAACATAGTTGGTGAGCAGTGGCTTTGAGGCCCTGATATTTGCCTGTGTTCTCTGTGAGCAGTGAGTGTCTAGGAAGAGATGAGAGAACAAGATACCGATTCAGCAAGGGATTTATTTTAACAATCTTTTCAAACATTAGGACAACAAGGAAAACAGGTATACTTTAATAATCGGACAGATACTACTATATTGGGCTGTGTTTACAATTCTGGTTTTATTAACTCATAGGGTGTCTCTTAAGATGGATTCTTGAATTCAGGTTTGACATTTACTTCCACATGAGAACAATAAACTCAGAAGGAAAACAATGAATAGCTTGAATGAATGAATCCAAATGAAGGATTCCAATGATAAAGTTACAAGGGTCCAAGGATTTGATCAATGAGTTAAATTTTGCTCCAAGAATAAGTGAAGGGAAATACATGATTTTTCATTTGGTTTGTACTTCTCTGTTTTCTAAAAAGGTTGACCATTGATTTTATATATGCTTTTGTCTGAAATCTACTGTTCTTTTTCTCTCCCCTTCTCTCTTTCCTCTCTCTTCCCTTCCCTTCCTACCTGTCTTCATATTTCTTAACTTCCTTTCTTCTAATTTTTTCAACTCCTTAACTTCCTTCCTCCTTTCTCTCAGCATAGCTGCTACCACAGCAGGATATCCGTCTCCAAAAAGTGATACAAAGATGTGGGAAGAATGGGATAGAAAACTCTACCATCTGAATTTTGTGCCAAGCACCGAAGCACTCACTTGATTTTCCCTGGACCCTGACCAAATCCTTTGGCTTCCAGTTTCCGGTAGAAATTTCGGAGCTTGGCTTCAAAGTCTCTCCGGTATGGTGAAGGGGCTCTTGCACTGGCTCTCTGTAAGCCTGCAGGGAAAATCCACATACCACTTTTTAGTAGGAGAAAGAACAGACGATGCACATTCTTGTGTCTTCATATTTTTCTTCTCCAAGAACTGTTCCCTAGTTTCCATCACTCCCTCAATTAATTTTTATAATAAATAGGAATAGTATGAAAAAGAGAAAAATGAATTCTGACGGGGACAAATATTGGAGTCTTCCACTCTAATTATTGCAAGCTACATTTATCTTAAAAATGCCTTGGTGAGAATTTTTCTTGAATTAATTATACTAAGATAATTTAAGGGAGCTCTGGTAGCATAGTGGCTAAGACACTTGCCTGCTAACCAGAGGGCTGGCGGTTCAAACCCACCAGCCACTCCTCGGAAGGAAGGTTGGGCAATCCTACTTCTGTAGTGATACTGCCTCGGAAACCCAAGGAGGGGTCGCTATGAGTCGGGGCCGACTCGACGGCACACAACAACAACAACAACAACAACAACAAGATAATTTAAAAAAATTAGCATAAACCAAACTAGACTGTAAATATAAGAAATGAATTGTAAGTATAATATAGTAACTAGAATTGTAATATATAAGCTTATCTTATTTCTGTAATTATGTTGATATCAATACTAAAATAAGCATACTTATCCTTTAGGGCCCAGAGCACATAGGGGTTTATATTGATTATATTTCATCATAAAATAAAAATAAAAATAAAAAATAATAAAATTTACAATAATAATAGTTACACACTATATTCTAGGTACTGAGTTCATAATCTAGGGAAATGGGTACTGATAAACTCACAGTTTATCAGTTAGTTTATAATGACAATAAATAACTATATAATTATAAGCTGAGATAATTACTACCCATGAAGAGGAATTCAGGCCCTTGAGATCACAAAACATTGTGGCTAAGTGTGGGAAGGCTTCCCTGAAGAAGATCTGAAGAATGAGTAGGTGTGAATTAGACTGAAGTCTTCTCTTTAATTGAGAGAAGATAAGCAGGTGGATCAACATGTGCAAAGGTCCAGTGGCAGAATGGGACATGATGTTCCAATTTTTCTAGAACACAAGCTGTGAGGCGCAGAGTGATACAAAACAAGATGTGAGATGTGGGCAGGAGCCAGATAAAACAGGTTAAGGTGCACTTTGTTAAGAATTTTTGTTTTATTTTAAGAGCAATAGTAAGCCATTATGTGGAGGCTGATATGACGTGACGAGTTAAGACACAAATTTTTCTGCAGTATAAAGAAAAAGAAATGAAGAGGGCCAAGGGGGATTTACGGAGCTCAAACTGGACTAGGATAGTGTCAGTGCTGATGAGGAGAAGTGAACAGACTGGAGATGTAGTTAGGAGGCAATGGATTGGATGTAGGTAGGGAGTGAGAGTTATGTTTCTGACTTTTGTAACTAAATGGACTGTCATGACATTCATGAGATGGAGAATATTGGAAGAACATATTTGTGGGGGATGATCATTAATTTGCCTTTCTATGGCAGTGCCTCTGAGTGTTTCTTGGAGAGAGACATAGTTTGAGGAAGAAAAGAAGAAAACCTAGGATTGCGCCTTGAGGAGGTAGGAAGAGGAGAATGAGCTGAAAACATGGCCAGAAAAGCAGATGAAATGCCTAGAGTGGTGCCACAGAACCTAAGTGAAGAAGGCACTTAAGGGGGAAGTAAAAATGTTAAGTCCTGCAGAAAGATCAGAGAATTCCCATTGGATTGGGTGACCAGAGGTAATAGTGACCAGAGGTTATAGTGAAGTCACCTCCTTTACGTTACAGATGTAAAGGGGGATGGGTACAGCTTGTAGGTTTGGTAGCAGGCATTTGAAAAAGTTTCTGCCATATGGCTTCAACTTTCTCAATAAAGAAAAAGGGAGACTACTTGCTAGGTCAAAGGAGGGGAAACAGGGAGTTGGAAGTTTGATGGGCATGGAAAATTTGAAATAGCAGTAAAGAAAAGAGTAAGTTTACCAGATAAAAGTGATAGAATTTCTTTTGGGTATTCTTTACTGAGGAGTTGTTGTCAGGTGCTGCTGAGTTGGTTCTGACTCATAGCGACCCTATGTACAGCAGAATGAAATGTTGCCTGGTCCTGCATCATCCTTACAGTCCTTGCTATGCTTGAGCCCATCATTGCAGCCGGTGTCAATCCATCTTGTTGAGGGTCTTCCCCTTTTTCAGTGATCCTCCACTTTACCAAGTACAATATCCTGCTCCAGGAAATGGACCCTTCTCACCGTATGATGAGAAGGGTCCATTCCCTGGCAGGAGCTCTGGTGGCATAATGCCTAAGGCATTTGACTGCTAACCAGAAGGCTAGTGGTTCAAACCCACCAGCCATTTCTCGGAAGGAAGACTGGGCAATCTACTTCTATAGAGATACTGCCTTGGAAACCCAAGGAGTGATTGCTATGAGTCGGGACTGACTTGATGGCAGTGAGTGACCATATGACTAAAGTGGGTGAGATGAAATCTGGCCATTCTCACTCCCACGGAGCATTCTGGCTGTACTTCCTCCAGGACAGATTTGTTCATTCTTCTGGTAGTGCATAGTATTTTCAGTATTCTCCAACAACACCACAAGTAAAAGACATCAACTCTTCTTGGGTCTTCTTTATTCATTGTCCAGTTTTCACATGCATATGAGGCAATTGAAAATACTATGGTTTGGGTTGGGTGCACCTTAGTCCTCAAAGTGACATATTTATTCTTTAACACCTTAAAGAGATCTTTTGCAGCAGATGTGCCCACTGCAATATGATGTCTGATTTCTCGACTGCTGCTTCCATGGGTGTTGATTGTACATCAGAATAAAATGAAAGCCCTGACAACTTTGATCTTTTCTCCATTTATTTTGATGCTACTTATTGTTCCAGTTGTGAGTATTGCTTTCTTTATGTTGAGGTGTAATCCAAACTGAAGACTGTAGTCTTTGATCTTCATCAGTACATGTTTCAAGTTTTTTTCACTTTAAGCAAACAAGGTTGTGTCATTTGGATAACACAGGTTGTTAATGATTCTTCCTCCAATCCTGATGCCATGTTCTTCTTCAGATAGTCCAGCTTCTTGGATTATTTATTCAGTATAAAGATTGAACAAATACAGTGAAAGGATACAACCCTGATGCACACCTTTCCTGATTTTAAACCATGCATATCCCCTTGTTCTGTTCAAACAACTGTTGAGGAGAGAGAATTCTAATTTATAATTAATGATCAGGGGGTGAGGCAGTGGCAGTTCAGTGGTAGAATTCTCCCCTTCCATGTGGAGATCAGGGTTTGATTCCTAGTCAATGCACTTCATGTGCAGCTGCCAATAGTCTGTCAGTGGAGAGTCGCATCTCTCTATAATTCTGAACATGTTTCAATGGAGCTTCCAGATTAAGAGGACCTAGGATGAAAGGCTTGGAGATCTTCTGTCAAAAATGAACCAATGTACAGGGAACATCAAGTTCAACTGGAATAACATACTACACAAAAACATCATTCCACATCCTACTTTGCTGAATAGTGATTGGGATCTTAAAAGCTTGCAAGTGGCCATCTAGATGCAACAATGGGTCTCTCCATATCTGGAACAAAAAAGAATGAAGAAAACCAAAAACACATGGAAATAATTAGTCCAAACAAATAGTACACCATGCAGTCATCAGTCTATATGACTACGAGACCAGAAGAACTAGATGGTGCCTGGCTACCACTGTCAACCACTAAGAGGGAGATCTATGTAGGCGATCCTAGGTAGAGTGGGAGAACAAGGTGGAACAAAACTCAAAATCATAAAAAAAAAAAAAAAAAAAAAGGACCACGTTTGTTGGTTAACAGAGCCTGGTGAACCTCTTGAGACTATGGCCCCTAGCTGCCCTTCAGGTCTCGAATTGAACCCACTCCTGTGGCTTCCAGCCAAACAAAAGATAGGCATATGAGCTGAACATTTACATTAGGTAGATACACTCATAGGAGATATCAATAATGGGAGACTAGAAGGGCTGTGCATATACTGGGAGACAGCTCAGGGGGCTGGAGTGCATAGGAGGGAAGGGGTTACAAAGGGAAGAGGTAACTATGGAGAGGAAGTGGGAAGAGGGCTGTTGCATTATAGGAAATTACAGTCAATGTCATGAGACAAAGTGTATGTGAAATGCTGGATGGAAAATGAATTTACTCTGTACACTTTCACTCAAACCACAATAAAAAAAAATGAACTAATGAAAACCCTGTGGATGACTATGGTCATATCTGTAATCAATCAAAGGGATGGTGCTGAACTGGGTAGTGTTTTGTCTGTTATGCATGGGGTTGCTGTCTTAGTTATCTAGTGGTATTATAACAGAAATACCACAAGTGGATGGCCTTAATAAACAGAAATTTATTTCTCTCACAGCTTGGGAGGCTAGCAGCTCAAATTCATAGTGCTGGCTCTAGGGGAAGGCTTTCTTTCTCTGTTGGCTCTTGTTTCCTTTCAACATCTGTGGGCCTGGTGTTCCTTAGAGATCTGCATGTATCTTGGCATCAATCTTCCCCTGGACTGAGGAAGATCTCAGTGCAGGGACCCTGGGTCCAAAGGACATGCTCTGCTCCTGGCTCTTCTTTCTTGGTGATAGTCAGGTAGGTCTCTCCTTCTCTGCTTACTTCTCTCTCCTTTTGTCCCTTGTAAAACAAAAGGTGATGCAGATCACACCCCAGGGAAACTCCCCTTACATAGGATCAAGGCTGTAACCTGAGCAAGGGTGTTGCATCCTACCCTAATTCTCTTATGACTGATTGGCTGATCACATTAGATCACATCATGGAGCATGATTACATCATCTTGGAACTGCCAAACCACTGAGACCCATAACTGAGCTAGTCAGAGTACCACATACTTTGGGGGTAGACAATTTAATTCATAGTATTTCATCCTTTGCCTCTCTGCCAAATTCATGCCCTTGTCACATGTAAAACACATTCACCACATCATATTGTCCTGAAAGTCTTGAATCAACTTCAAATTCAAAACCTCCTGGGGCAAA